ATTAACAAAAGCTTCAACTAAGCTCCACCCTGAAAGCTGCACACAACAGGAGGATAGTTCTCAATTGAGCATGTATCCTGCCTTCCATCAAGGGACAGATTGCCTTATAGAACCAACAACAATTGATCAAAAGGGAAGAACCAGACTATCAGATGGGTCCCTGTCTCATAAGAATGGCAAGTCTTGCACACGCCCCCAAAGACCCCCTAACCTGCCAGGCTGCAACAACTAGAATACAGCTATCCTAAACTGATGATCAGCTAAGGAGGGTGGTCAGGACAACTTCTTTCTCCAGCTGACCTTTCTAGTATGATCTCCCAACTGCACCACTGTCCCTACTCCTGCTGCTATTCCCAGAAATCTCTAATCAGTTAAGACTTCTTATTCTTACACTACCACTAGCTTGCTTGTTAATTCATGTTTTTCTTCATGGGCTAGCATCAACAGCTACACATGGATATTTATATCTATATGTTTAGTGTCCCATTGTCCCAACACACTCATCTTTTATCTCATAACTACAGTAGTTATGAGACTGCACAGATCTGTTTCCTAGTTGCTTTTGATGTTCGGCATCATAAGTAGATTAAAATAAAAATGCAGAACTTACACCATACATATGATATTTTTAAAAAACAATATTCTGAGATCAATTTTAGTACCTTACATACTAAAACAAAAGTAACCAATAATAATATAGCAAATTATTCCAAAACACTGAAATATAAAATTCTCCATTGCTCTCAGCAACCCGCCCTGCAAGAATGAAAACTGCTCCCAGACATCTGTTTTTGTTGGCTTTATATAACATCCCCAAGGTGGTTTCTTCTAGATATGAATCACTACCAATTGTGTTCTCTCATGACTGTATGACCAAACGCACTACTTTTTATTTTCCAATCCTAATTTACTAACTGTTTCTATGTGTTACCGCCATAGCTTAGAAGATGTAAACACAATAGTCCTGACTCCTGATCAGTGCCCTGGAAAGCTGGCAATGAAGTATAATTGGCTTTCTGAGCACAATATGTTTGAGGCTTTTTGTTGAAAAAAAAGAGGACGGGTTAAATAAGAGATATATGGTCATTTTGCCATGAGAGAAGGGAGACGACAATCTATGCTGGCTACAGAATGGAGGAAGCACAGGAACAGTCAAGCTGCTTCTGGCACTTCTAAAGCAGTGGACTATTCTCCAGGGGAATGAGTCAGATAAAAGGCACCTTCCAGTAATTAAATGAAAGACACACAGCTAATGGTCTGTACAGGATACAATGATCCATCAATATTCTTACTTTCTGTTAGTACGTTTTTGACACTATGAAAATTTTGTTGACTAAGGAACATTTTGTAAAACTGTCCAAGAAGTGACAATATCTGTTTTAAATTTAAAATACATTTAATTTGGCAAACATATGAAAATGGTTTCCTTAGGGACATTTAGAATAAATTAAATATGTTTAAAAGAGAAGTATAGGATACTAATTATACTTCTTACCTAGGTGACGCAGCATGGGTCCGATGTTGCATTTGTCTGTGTGTATTGTCTCATACTGAGGTGATGGTAAACCAGGGTGATTGCCCGTTTGTCTATCATTAATGTTTAATAAAGCATAATTTTTTGGAAATTTTTCCGAGTATCGCATTCTGTCCATAATGTAGCCGCTTTCTTGTGAATCTCTTTTCACAAATCTCTTTGTTGGTCTGCATATTTTTGGGCTACTGGATGGAAGCCATATATTGGGTGATACAGCAATATATATATATTTGAACCTCTAAACTCTATTCTTTATTATTTGTCCCCTGCTGGCTCTAAGTGTGAGAACTCAGTGATCACATGACCACTGATCACTGGGTTCTCACAGCCGCTCTGAGCAGAGAGCAGTGACTGTCAGTCACTGCTGTCTGCTCTGCCCCCCCCCCCCCCCCACGCTCACTGGAGCGCAGAGCTGGAGATAGGGAGGGAGTGGATGGCTCAGACTCTCAGCACATCTCTGAGAGGCTGAGCCAAGTGCCACTCCAGACCCTGGGGTGGATTCCGGCTTTAAAGTCAGGATCTTTCCCCAACCTGGACCGGCTGAGTGATGTCAGCCGTCAGCAAGCTTCAGCCCACTGTCAGCTGAAAACGGGTGATATGAGTGCAGAACAAACTGCACTCTTTTGATCCACAGGACAAGTACAGCCAAAACAGCTTTGGCTGTACTTCTCCTTTAAATTAGTACAGTACAAATTTAAAGAAGATCTGCAGTCCCAGTTGTTATTGGGTACATATTTATAACTCTAAAGTTTCCCTAAGTGGAAAAATTATGCCTTATGCTAAAGCACCCCCTAACACTTAGGGACATATTTATAAAGCAGTAAACCTGGTTTCTACCAAATATTCATTGCATGTGAATCCTCCTGGTGTATGTGTTTTTAAATGAAAGTGGATGATTCACTTCCAGTGAATATCTGGTAAAAGTCACATTCACTGCTTTATAAATACGCCCCTTAACAATTTCACTGCCACCAGTGTAAGGGTTATGGAGGACCAGAACTGCCTCCAATTGGCCAGCTCAGACGCCAGCTCATGGTCACTTCAGCAGCCAGAAACTCAAAGCAGAAAGGTCCCCTAGATTCTGCTGCTTAATAAACCACTGATATTGGTAGCTAATAAGGCCAATGCAGTTCCCCCTCCACCACTACCTCTACCCCTCTAGTGTGTCCCACCTGTCACTGATTCTTCTTGCTATGTGCCTCCCATATGCTTCCCCTCCATAACCCACTGTCTCTGATCTCTGCTGCATTCTTTCCTTGCCTGTACTGTCAGAGACAGGGGGTTGTGGAGGGGATCATACTATAGGTACACAGTTTAGAACTGTTCAGGTTGGTGAGCTGAGAATCTGTAAGTGTGTCTCTCATGCAGGGGTGGACTGACAACTCATGGGGCCCCCGGGCAAAAGGGGATCATGGGGCCCTGTGTCCTTGCCCAAACTCAAAAAAGCCTATGAAAAAGGTACCAGGGGCATCTCATGGGGCCCTCTACTTACCCCGGGCCCTCGGGCAGTGCTCGAGTTTCCAAATGGTCAGTCTGCCCCTGCTCTCATGATTACCAACCTTTTCACTTTGCTTAATTTTGCCAGTGATTTCAAATTGCCAAGTGTGAATGCAACCTAAATGCAACAAAACTCAAAAACTATCCAAACACAATAATTAAAAGCCACACATAACATATCTGAGACGAGATATTATATAAGGTTTATGAAAAAATGTTGCACTGTCCTTTAAATAGTAAAAAAGTGCCAAAATCACATAAAATATTATAATGACATTTTCATTTGCTAAGTGAAATTTCAGTGATGTATTCTATCTTTTAAATCAATTTGAATGAAAAATGTGTGTATATCCAATACTACAAAATAACATATATACTGTATATACATAAATGCACCTGTGACAATTAATTCTAAAGTCCATAGTCAATTTTGCATCCAGTGCAAACTCTGTGACAAATACTTTACATTGTACCAACTTCAGTGCTCCTCCACCAACACACCGACCAGCTTCCTACCAGAAGCATATGACTCCTAAAAAGGTCATGAGTGCCTACAGCAAATATGGATCATTACTGGGTAAGGCCCCTTTCAGACAGGGTGGACCCGTCAGTGGATCCTCTTGTTCAGCAGGGGATCTCTCCAGTGATCCCCACTGAGCAGGCAGATGACAGGTCTGTGTCCGCTCTGCTGTTGAGCAGAAAGACAGACACAACCAGCTGTTTTCTATGGGGCAGTTGGATGGAACGGACCGCCTGTCCATTTCTACCCTACTTTCATCCAATCTGATCTTCCAGATGGATGGGGAATGTATCCCCATCCATCTGTTTTTTAGCGTTCAGGGCCGAATCGGATGCCAACATGTGTCCGCTGACACCTGCTGCTCCTTAGAGGGCTATGGGTGTGTCTGATCAGGTCTGCCTGAAAAGCTGACAGGTGGATCCGATTGGACCGCCAGTGTGAAAGGGGCCTAAGAGATTAATCTGCTTAATAGCAATCCAGTAATATCAATCCAGTAAACCACTGTAGATCACCTCAGCAATGAAGATGTACAGCAAAGCTCATGAAGAGGAAACTGAGGCCACACAAGCTTAAACTGTCTTTTTGCTAAGTTTAAAATAAACTCAGAAGATACTGACAAGACAGAGAAACGTCAAAGCATGAACTCTGAAAGCTGTAAGTAAAACATTTTAAAAATGGTCTGTTCTAAAAAATTCTGTACATGCATGATACCTGTGCTGACAGTTATCAATTACATAGTCCAATCTGGTTTCTATGGGACTAGGACTGGAAGTGTGTTACTGGCAGAATCTCCAAGTAAGAAAGGGGAAGAAAAAACTTGAAAGAAAAAAAAAAAAAAGATGAATGCAGCCACCACATCTCTGTATAGCACTACCACCACAGGAGCCGCTGGTTGTTTTGGGTCCTCTCTTCTTACCTTGACATCTACAAAGACCTTTGCACCTTTTTCACCTCAGAAATACATGTCAATAGACAAAGATTGATAACTTTTGGCTACCTTAGTGTCATCCTGACACTAAGGTAGAGACTTGAGACTAGGGGTGGACTGACCATTCGGGCACTCGGGCACTGCCTGAGGGCCCGGGGGGTCACTAGAGGGCCCCATGGGAGGCTCAGTCCATCCTCTGGATATGCCGCTGCTGAAAGGAGGAAAAAAGGAAGTGTTGCAACAGGGCAGCGCCACGGCAGGCACTTCGGACACCTCTCCTCGGAGTTTCCTCAGAGGGTTGAGTCCCACATCCCTGCCACAGGACAGGCGGCCAGAGAGGATAGCGGAGTCATCGTTGTGCTGACCTGCCCTGTATCCTGCAGCAGGTCATTGTGTAATCCCCCGACCCCGGTGACACTGACAGCACTGCAGCTTAACCACCTCCTGCCTGCCATATAAGGAAATGACAGGCGGCGGCGATTCTCTTGTTCTGGGAGGACATCATATGATGTCCTCCCACTCCAACGATCGGTGGGGCACTGTGTCCCTGGGACACTGATCAGCGGAAAGAGCCGAAAACGTTGGCTCGGTCATGTGATCAGCTGTGTCCAATCACAGCTGATCGCATGTAAAAAAGGAAATGCCGGTTATCAGCATTCCTCTCCTCACCAGCTGTTCACGCTGACAGCTGGTGAGGAGAGGAGAGCCGGTAATCGGCATTACTCAGAGGGGACATCTACACTGATCATCAGGGCACTGATCAGTGCCCTGATGATCAGTGTAGCCCCATCAGTGCCACCTGTCAGTGCCCATCAATGTCACCTGTCACCTGTCAGTGTCCACATCAATGCCACCTGTCAGTGCCAATCAATGCACATCAATGCCACATATCAGTGCCAATCAATGTCACATGCCCGTCATCAGTGCCTACCAGTGCATATAAATGCCACATATCAGTGCCCATCTGAGCTGTCTATCAGTGCTAGTCAGTGCCGCCTATGAGTGCTGCCAATCAGTGCCACCTATCAGTGCCTGTCAGTGCCACCTAACAGTGCCAGTCAGTGCTGCCTATCAGTACCGCCTATCAGTGCCATATATGAGTACTGCCTTTCAGTGCCCATCAGTGATGTCTGTCAATGCCCATCAGTGCCACCTACCAGTGCGTCCTCATCAGTGCCCATCAGTGTCACCTATCAATGCCCATCAGTGCCGCCTTATCAGTGCTCATCACTGCAGCCTCATTAGTGCACATCAGTGAAGGATAAAAATTACTAATTTACAAAATTTTATAACAGAAACTAAGAAAAAAACTTTTTTTTTTTTTCATTTTCAGTTATTTTTTTGGTTAGTTTAGCAAAAAATAAAAACCCTGAGGGGATTAAATACCACAAAAAAAAGCTCTATCTGTCTCAAACAAAAGTTTAAAAATTTCATACGGGGACAGTGTTGCATGACCGTGCAATTGTCATTCAAAGTGTGACAGCACTGAAAGCTGAAAATTGGCCTGGGCAGGAAGGGGGTATAAGTGCCCTGTAGGCAAGGGGTTAATAGTAGTCTTATATTCTATATTCCCTATATAAAACAGTGATATCTGTACACTGAGTGGCACCCAGTGTACAGATATCAGTGTTATATATAGGAAATAGCAGCCAGTGTACAGATATCAGTGTTATATATAAGAATAGCACTCAGTGTACAGATATCAATGATATATACAGTGGTTTGAAAAAGTCTTCCTCGCGACTGAAATGTCCCCCATGTTGTCATGTTACAATATATATTCCTCCCCTGAAATGTCCCCCATGTTGTCATGTGACAATGTATATATTGGGATTGGATGTGATAGGCCAACACAAAGTGGCACATAATTGTGAAGTGGAAGGAAAATGAGAAATGGTTCCAACATTTGTGACCAATAAATCTGTGAAAAGTGTGGCAGCATTTGTATTCGGCCCCCTGGAGTCAGTATTTTGTAGGACCCCTTTGGCTGAAATTCCATCTGCAAGTCTTTTTGAGGACATCTTTCCCAGCTTTGCACATCTACAGAGGGACATTTCTGCCCATTCTTCTTTGCACAATCACTCAAGCTCTGTTGTTGGATGGAGAGCGTCTGTGAACAGCAATTTTCAGGTCTGGCCACAGATTCTCCATTGGATTTCGGTCTGGACTGTGACTGGGCCATTCTAACACATGCATATGCTTTGTTTAGAAAGTTTGGAGACCCCAAATTTAGATCAGTTTACTGTCCTTCAGGTTTTTGGGGGCCGGACTGTGGTCTTTGGGATCAGAAATTGTCCTGGCATCAGTGGGAGTAAACCATGCATCTTTAGTATTAGGGGGAGGAATAGCATCCCACCTTTGGTGTCAATGGGAGGAATAGCAGTCCATCATTGGTATCAGTGGGATGAATAGTGCCTTATCATTCATGTCAGTGAAAGGAATAATGTCCTATCATTGGTGTCAGTGGGAAGAATAGTGCCACATCATTGGTGTCAGTGGGAGGAATAGTGCCACATCATTGGTGTCAGTGGGAGGAATAGTGCCCTATCATTGGGGTCAGTGGAAGGAATAGTGTCCTATCATTGTGGTCAGTGGAAGAAATAGGAACAATTCATTAAAACCTTCATTTTGAAATGTACCAGTGTTGCACTCTCTTTAATGTAAGTTTTTTTTTTTCTTTATTTTGTGTAATAAACATTTATTTTGAGCATACTGTAGAGAAATTCTGTGACAATCGCATGTATTGCGGGCAGTGTAATATGTAGGTGGGGCTTTGTGTGGGTGCTGCTTGAGTGGGCAGGGACACGGGGCCCCATGATCTCCTATTGCCCGTGGGCCCCATGAGTTGTCAGTCTGCCCCTGCTTGAGACCCACTGGTAGCGCTCCAGCGCGATTTGTCACCAGCTACAGGGCACAGAAGTACTGCTACAGGGCAGCAGAGATGCGCAAAATCATGTATATACACGTGATTTTCCCTTTCCAGGTAGGGGGCGTGCGCATGCTCCCTACCCGCGCCACTATTGGCTCCACGGTATGTCAATCACCAGGTCCCGGATGCTGATTCTTGGCCGGACTCGGTCATCGTCGGCGGAGCTGACAGGGGAGAGTTCTATATGTAAACAACACAGATCTCTTCCCTGTCAGCGTGAACAGGCTGCTTTGTATTGCTCTGCAGAGCAGAGCAATACAAAGTAGCTTGTCTACATAGTTAAACACACACAGCACATAATGTAAAACACAACACAGCACACAGTTAACCATTTGCTCGCCCCAGATGTTAACCCCTTCCTGCCCAGTGTCATTAGTACAGTGTCAGTGCTTTTTATTAGCACTGATCACTGTATTAGTGTCACTGGGGATGTCAGTAACAGTCAGTTTCCACCCAGTGTCAGAATTCACGCCGCAGTCCAGCAGTTCTGCAATAAGTCGCTGATCGCCGCCATTACTAGTGAAAACATTTTTTTTACTGGATATGTTTTATAGCAAAAAGTAAAAAATATTGGGTTTTTTTCTTCAAAACTGTCAGTCATTTTTTCTTTATAGTGCAAAAAATAAAAAACTGCACAGGTGATCAAATATGACCAAAAGAAAGCTCTATTTGTGGGGAGAAAAAGGACATAAGTTTCATTTATGTACAACACTGCATGACTGTGCAATTGTCAGTTAAAGTAACGCAGCACAACGCAGGAAGTTGGTCCAGAATGGTGGTATGCAGCTGCTGTTGGAGTGAGTGCATGTAGACAAACAGTTGCTGAAAATAGCTGGAGGAGATATACATCACTGAAATGGAAAAAGAAAAAAGAAAAAAAGAAAATTTTGTATTAGAAAAAACATGGTAATTAATAAAGGTATTCAAACTAAGTGTTATCTATTTATGATTTAAATCTACTTTAACCCTCTCCTACCTGAACACATCACTTAAGCCTGCCCCTAAAACAATTAAAACTTTTAGCTCCCAACATTTACCATTAACCTGTTCTTTAACTACTGCCACTCCGGACACTTTTACCCCCTTCCTGCCCAGGCCAATTTTCAGCTTTCAGCGCTGTCACACTTTGAATGACAATTGCACGGTCATGCAACACTGTACCCATATGAATTTCTTAGCATTTTTGAGACAGATAAAAATTTATTTTGGTGGTATTTATTCACCACTGGTATTTTTTTTTTTTTGCTATATAAATGAAAAAGTCAAAAAAAAATTTTAAAAAGTGTTTTAAATTTGTAAATAAATCATCTTTCTTCATAAATCTTGGCCAAAATGTATTCAGTTATCTTTTTAGTAAAGAAAAACCCAAATTAGTTTAAAACCAAAAACTATAATTTTTAAAAAAAATGTTTTACATTTTTATTAAATTTTTTTATATTATGTTTTTTTTTTTAACATACTGTCGCCCTAGCAGTACAGTGTCACCATAGTGACACTGTACTACTTGTGGGGGGTAATGAAGATTTTTTTTTTTTTTTTTCAGTGATTGCTTTTACACCCATAAAGGCTGCAAAAGCCATCATTTCTCCTTCTCCCTGGCTGCATTCTTGCAGCCATTGAGAAATACTATGTGAGCTGTGATTGGTCACAGCTTGTCACAGTGTACAAGGCTGTTGTGAATAGCCTTGTACCATGTGATCTCTGTGATTATTCACAGATTTCAAACGTAGTAAGCAATTATATCAGAAGTGACATCTTTCTTACTCCTATTCATGTGATCACTGATTGGCCAATCAGTGATCACATGATCGGGACCGCACACAGAGGTCCCGTACATCGGGCACCGGATCGCGGTGCCACGCGCTCCCAGGGAGCGTGCACAGTCCGAAATGGGCGCCGTTTATGAACTGCAACTCGCCCCTGCACTGCCACCATCCGGCCCTTTATATACATGGGCCGGACAGGAAGTGGTTAACAATCCACCAACCCTCATTTTGACTCTTACCAAAAGTCCCTGCAACATAACTACCCAACAACAGTTCCTTTTATGTATTTTGCCTGTGCATTTAGATATCTTTCTAGAGGCTGTGCAGCAATTATTTATGTTGTATCATTTTGTTTTTGCTACCAAGAGACTTTGAGGTCTGCATAGATATGGCCATTATAGTAGTTATGTACATTACATAAAGAAACTGGCATTTTAGGCTTATTGCCTAGTTAAATGCCTAGACATAAAGAAAGCAAAGAACATAAAGCAGAAATGTTATCTATATTGATCCATCCTTAATAAATAATGTATTTGTCTAAGTCAGCATGTTATAGAAAATAATGGCTACAAAAACACTTTTAGTGTTTTTTCCAACCTTTTCAAATAAATAAGCTCAAATCAATAACTTGTTTTCAAACCAGTAGAAACCAAACCACTTTGTTCTGCTTACAAAAGATAAAGAACATTCATTAAGAGAAGTTAGACAGATTAAAGAGACTGGGCTCCATGGAACTTCTGGATATGTTTGAATGATTTATGCATCCACTTAGGAAACATGGAAAGGTACTGTACTACAACTTAACATTTCTTTTTTTACAGCCAAGTAATGACACTGCTGTACACACACTTAAAGAGAGCATTAAATATTACTTTAAGACATTATTTAATGCCGTTTCCAAAACAAGATCATCGGGAAACTTAAGCTGCTTTCTGATTTATGAATAACAAAATGTGTAATGTGAGTTTTAAGCACCGATCTGAGACACAGGAAAAACTATTTAAGTAAAATGGACCTTCTGTGAGACCAAAGTATCAAACTTGTTTCAGATACTCTTATACTACTCTGTACTATTATTTTTACAATAAAGTAAAGTGCACCTATATAAAAGTCCTCTGAATCTTCTTTTTGCTCTTCTTTGACTATTTTTGTCATCGCCCTCTAACATCATAGAATACAATGCAGGTTTCTGGAGATTAGAGGTCTGGAGAGCTGGATGCCAGGGGACCACTGGCTAAGATACTATATGTGATAAATTGAAACCTTGCGTCAAAGAAATAACAATCAATAAAAATAAATGCTGCTGTTCAAAAATGACAAAACATCAAACAAAACTCATAATATAA